AATTTCGAAATTTACCAAATAACCAGACGGTGTGCACAGAGACCAAACTTTGTAGCCGAAACGAATGGGCTTGCCTTTGATGAATTGCTTGCAGCCATGTTTACCATAATAAGCGATCATGCTTTCGTCATATGATAGATTTTGTGTTGGATGGAAATTCTTCAGAAAGTTCGCTTTCAAATGATCCATTATCGGACGCAGCTTCCAAAGTTTATCCTTGTTATTTGCTGGTGGATTCAAATTCGGCTCGAAATGTAGCACTCGGAGTATTTCTTGGAATCTGTTGCGTCGCATCGTCTGGAATATCATTTCATTGCGTAGATCATCTGAGCTATTCCAGTATGCTTTGATGTTCGAAACTGTATTGTATCCAGTCACCAATAGAATGCCAATGAAAGCACGCAATTCTGGAACCGTAACGTTGACTGGCTTCTGCAAATGCAACACGGAATATCGTTCTGAGCAATCACAAATATGTTGCAGCAAATCATCGTCATAAAATCGTTCAAATAGCTCATGAGGTTGTACATCTCGGCAATCGTCGAAATTTGGTTCAGGAAAAACTGGAATGGCAGCGCTATCACCTTGTTTTAGCCACTTGAACACATTTTCGTTTTGTGCCGACTCTTCAATATCGAATGTTTCAGTGTGCACACCGTTTCGTAAAACCAACTCACAGCCGGCATTCAACTGATTGCGAGACAATGCGTCGACTGTACCTCCTTCATTCTCATTTGCCTCGTCTTCACCACTCACATTACCGTCATCTTCGGGTGGTTCAATGTAAATTCCATCAATATCTCGCATGAAATCATCTTCTTCTTCTTCGTCAATTAGCTGTTCCAAATAATCGACGGCATCTTTCAATGATAATTTTCTGTTTGAAATGTAAAAAAACACAAGAACATACAAGCGTATGCATGAGAAAATGCGTGGAAATTTTTTTTTCTGTTCACCTCAACACGGACCCTAGAGGTCCCAACGTTACCATATGGTAACGCATCATTTTGACGGATTCTAACGACACGAAAATATTTTCGATGTACATAAAACTTGTTTGATTCTTAAAATTTATGTCTCTAGCTATCGTTTGATATCAAGTTTATCGAATTCTGATAATAAATATTGAAAATATATCATGACTTACTTCGACATGTCTGCGAAAATCGATTTTTTTCACTTTCCAAAAAAAAAAATTTTTAGCGTCTTCTCTGGCTCACACTCGAACACATACTGACGCTTGCCATATAACAATGGAAAGCGGCAAATTTTGCCAACCTAAAAATCCTTAACTTGTCATATTTGGTTGCGTTCGTGACGAGCTAGCCATCAAAAAGTCGACCAACCTTTTGCGTTACCATATGGTAACGTTGGAACCTCCCGGGTTAATTGGGTTTATGAACGGAAAAGTGATTTTGTATGAAATTGGATAAACAATAAATAAAATCTTCATCAGAACCGTACGAGGAGACCAACCAGATGGCGACATTGACATAATAAAGCAAAAGCAAGACCCTGACACCATCTATTGATTTTTGGACAAATCATTAAGGCTTTTGTCTTGCATTAACTGTTCAGTTCAATATAAATGAACTTAACAGCGACTTTACTGTTACTTAAATTACTTTTAAGATACTTACACCAACTTTAATAGCAAAATGTCCAACCAAATGGTAGATGTGTTCGCTGTTGTATATGCCGTATGGACATAGAAAACATCTAATTTAGTACATCTGTCAAAAAGCACGATTCTTTGCTATAGCAGCTGCATGAAACTCTTCACACAGCAAGAAGAACAAGATGGAAAACTAAATTTTCTCGATTTATGAGTAACTAGGAATGGACCGAAGCTACACACACAATGGTATGGAGTTTGATTTAATACTAAATTGTCATAACCAATACATTAAAATGTAGTTGACATATACGAATGGGATAAAGTTCATCGCAAAAGCAGATGTCAGCACCAACAAATATACACAAATGAGATGACATTTATCCCATTCATATATGTCAACTATATTTGGATGTATTGGTTATGACACTTTAGTATAAAAGTAAACTCCATACTATTGTGTGTGTAGAGTATGTTTATCGTAAACCATCGACAACAGATCGCTACATCACCTCCGATTCACATCATTTGAGCATAAAATCGCGAATTTTCTTTCCAATTTTGTTCAGAGCCGTGAACAATTGAACATACCACTCACGGAAGAAAAGTTCAATACAGAAATTCAACGAATTTAACAAATTGCGAGCGTAAATGGATACACTGAACGTCTGATTATTGATCTTTTAAAATCACATCTAAGGGAAAAAAGGCTATGAAACCACATACTAAACTGAGTTTAATTCATAATTACACCAATGGCGATTGGATTTGGAATAGTTTTTCATATAATCCGTCATGTTCAAGTGAGTTATTGTCAATTTTTCATAAACACGACACAAAATTTAAAATTAGCCGAATATAATGCTCTAAATTTTAAAAAATCTAATTGGCGGTTCTAGAGATGAGATTAAATTTTGGGAAAAATTCGATAATTCTAGCAATACGAGGTCTGCAATAAGGAATATGTTGGCCAAAACAAGAGAGCAATTTCGAAAAGATACAAAGAACATTGTAATCACATAAAAAATAATGAGATTAAATGCGAATGAAGCAATTTTATAAATCGGGACAGTTTGATGAATGGCAATGATGGGCCGATTGAAAAACTAATATTAAAATATTTTTTGTAAGCAAATAGTTTTCAGTTAACTTTGGAAACCAAATCATAACATTTCAAAGAACTGGTTGTAATTTTGGAATATCTGGGTGTTTTCAATCATTTGAAGTCCTTATGAACGCTCTCCTTACTTTTTCACCACTTTTAAGAAGCTTTGAGCAATTTGCGCAATCTGAGCTATTGCTATCATGGACTGTTTTAAGCAGCGTTTATTTAAAGCTTGCCCGTGTGAAAAAGAAATGACTGACTGACTATAACTTCAGTTGACTTTAGTTGATTGAATTTATATTTTTGTTCTAAGAAAATCACTTGGTCCCAAATGAAGCAACTTAGATTGACTTGTAACTTCAAATGATTTCAGTTAACTATGATAGACTTACACTACACTTTGTACTGAAATGTCAATCAAAGTAAGTCATTTTTGTCCCAAATTAGTTAACTGACTGCTCAGTTACTATTTTTTCACACGGGTGGATATGTTCAAATATATGAATGAAAATACAAATAAAACAGAAACACTCAGCTTTCACAAAATGCAATCTGTTCTTTACACCCATTGCTTTTTATATCACATGAATTTTTGGGAAACGTCAGTTGATATTTCAAACTTACTGATGATGGAAGCTTTGCTTTCGATATGTATATCTGAGTGTAACATTGTTTCATGCACAATCGTGTTTCCGCACACCAACGTGATCACACACAATGATCGCAACCAAACGAAGTGTGTGCAAGGAATTGCCACATTCAAGGGGCACAACAGCACCAGTTGAAATAAATCACAGACAACTAAATTGGTAGCGAATGCGCTTGGCAAATGAGTGGGCAAAGGTTCGAATCCCATGATGGAATTTTTTTTTATTCTTAATGTGTTCATTCTTTTCCGATGGCGAGAATACCAATTTAGCTGTCTGTGATTTATTCCAACTGGTGCTGTTGTGCCCTTTGAATGTTCTTTCTTCTTTGAAATTTCTTTCCACATAATTCACATTGGAATCGATGTTCACCGGTGTGTTTTGCTCGCATGTGGCACTTCAAATTGCATTTGTTGAAATTTTCTAATCCGCAGAAATAACATTGATATCGACGGTGTTCGCAGCTTTTCTCCGCTGTGGATTTTCTTGTGGCGAATCAAGGTGTGAATACGAATGTGTACGGTAAGATGCCCTTTCTGCGATGCAACATAACCATACACTTGACACTTGTGCTTCGTTCGTTTCTTCGCCGCCTTATTCCTCAGAATCCTTCGTTTGTTTTGCTTTTTTGATCGCTTCTTTCCTTCACCACTTGAATTGAGTCTAATGCGACTGACGTTTGATTCGACCATTGGTTCACCGGCTTGACCGTCACGGGCATTCGGTTCATTTCCATTCGATCCTGAATCCGCTGAAAAGCCTTTCCTTTTTTCTGGCTTCTCTTCTTCACACTTCACTTCCTCTTTCATATCATTTGAATCGAAGTCGAGAACAAAATCATACTCTGGTTCGTCCGCCAATTCAACGTTCGATGTCCCAGTCTTTGCATCTGATGCAAATCTTCCATTCAAACGTGTCACCAAACCGAATTCACTGCCATCCGATGGTTCTTCCTTGATGTCTGGCTCTTTTTTGATCTCCACTTCAAAACCTTACCCGACCTTACCCTCCATATCCATAACGGATTCCAATCTGTCGAAAGGAAAAAACAAAAAAAATAGACGGGGAAAATTTAATTTGACATCTTTGATGTTTTTTTTCATTTCATCACGAACATTTTTGGTAATGATTGCAATAGCAGTGGAAAATACAATAGTACAAGATACAGCGCCGTAGCCAGAAAAAAAATTGGAGGGTGCAAAATCGAAATTTTTCTTTTGTTGCACCTTTGAAACCCGATTTTGCACCCGATTTTGTTGCACCTTTGAAATTTTTGGAGGGTGCAATGCACCCATTGCGCCGGCCTGGCTACGGCGCTGACAAGACATGAGGGTACGGAAGAGACAAATAAATTGTTGTAGTGAAATAACTTCATGTCATTTATGCTCAACAAATTTTAATACTTACAAATCATGAATAAATATCTCAATTTAGTAGAAAGTGGTTTGCAATTGTCAAAAGTCCTTCTGATTCAGTGCCCACTGTGTGGAAATGTGAATTGGAAACTTGAATTCCAGTCGGAATGACAGTTGAACATTTGGAACGAATCGAATTAAATCGAATTGGAAGCTGTCATCTTCGTAGTAAGCCACACAGACTCACCTATACACACAAACAGAGTTCGATCAGGCCACATTCAATCGACGTACGCAGCATTCATTGGTACACAACCACCTTGTGTCGGTCATTTAGAGGAGAAACACACAACAAAACGTACTCATTACCATAGACGAACAGAATGAAAAAAATCAAAGTAAGTACTCGAAATATCTATTCGGAATGCGTTTTTGCTGGTCCAAATAAGAGTTTAAGAAAAAACGGAGAATACTCTTTTATTTGTTCTTTTTTTTCTCATTGAATCAATTTTCATTAGAAGTCAACGTTGATAATAATTATCATCAACTTATTTTCAAGAATAATTTCATATTCAATAAAGTCTCATTGACATTACGACAATTTTCATTCCGATTATAATAATGAATCGTTTTGCTGAACTCATTCTCTATTTGCTATTCATCACCAGTCGTTCTAGTTTCAATGAAAATGTTGCACAAAAAACAACACATCGACAACTTTGCTTGACATTTTAGTTAGCATCTTCTGCAAATTGCGACAGGAACTGTGCTATTTTTAATCCAAATTTCAGTTGTTCGATATGATATAATACTTCCAATACACATTAAATTGAATTCAAAAGCAACATGTCAAAAACTCCGATAATTCACTTCTAATGTGAATTTATGACAATGCTATTCATTAAAACCACTTCTGAGCTCTCAAATTTCATTTCCCCTTCATATTTTTTTTTTCGTTTGTTCGACCTACAGGCTTTGGTCATGAATATGGATCCAGGCGAAGGTACTTCGGATGGTCGTGTAAAACGTAAAACAAACAACATCGAAGTGGAAATCAAACAAGAGCCAGACATCAAGGAGGAACCATCGGATGGCAGTGAATTGAGTTTGGTGACACGTTCGAATGAAGGATTTGGAGCGGTTGCAGCGACTGAGGCATTGAACATCGAATCGGTGGACAAGTTTGAATCGGATATCGATCTTGAATTTGATTTGAATGGTGTGAAAGAGGAGGTGAAGTGCAAAGGAGAGAAGCCAGATAAAGGAAAAGATTCTTCAGTTGATTCAGACTCGAAGGGAAATGAAGCGAATGCCCAAGGCGATCAAAATGATGAGCCAGTGGTCGAGCCAAAAGTCAGTCGAAAAAGACTCAATTCAAACGTCGGAAAGAGGCGTGATGGATCAAGAAAACAGGATAGACGTAAGATTCCAAGGAATAAAGCGGCGAAGAAACGAACGGAGCACAAGTGTCATGTTTGCGGTTATGTTACATCGCACAAAGGGAATTTTGCCACACACATTCGCATTCACACAGGCGACAAGCCTCACAAATGCAACGATTGTTCGAAAAGTTTCGCACACGGAAGCGATTTGATTCGGCACAAGAAAATCCACAGCGGAGAAAAACGATTCGAATGCTCCGTTTGTTTCAAATCATTTGCATGGAAATTCAGTTCAAATGTTCACTTGCGAACTCATGCCGATGATCTTCCTTATTCTTGTTTGAAATGTGGCCAACGATTTTCCAGCGGTGAGGCCAGACAATCACATGAAAAGCGCTGCAAACGACGTCGATACGAATGTTATCTCTGCGGATACGAATGTTTTGCCAAATACGATCAGAAACGCCACATGCAAGCAAAACACATCGGCGACCGTCAATACCAATGTGAAATATGCGGAAAGAAATTCATCCACAAAGGTCATCTCAATCAACATTTGGCCACTCATCGCGATCAATACCCATTCAAATGCAGCAAGTGTCGCCGAGGATTCACAATGGAAGAGGATAAAACAGCACACGAGAAGATTTGCGGTCATCGTCAGTATCAATGTTACATTTGCAAAGATTTCAAGATACAAAGGACCAATCTACGAAATCACATGCGTGTCCATCACACAGGAGAGAAGCCGTTCCATCGCAAGTAGTGTGCCAAGTGTTTCATTCGGAAGGACGATTCAAAATCGCACATAAAAAGTATTCACCGTTCCAAAGGATGATGCTTCGCGCAATAGATTTGTTTCACTCCATTCGAACTAAGTCTTTTTTTCCCATTCTTATGGATAATGTTTACTTCATCTGTACCGGTATTCTAACACCATTCCGAACAATTTGTTCGGAATTATTCCGAGCGATCAATTATATTTTGAAAGGTGGAAACCAAACGTTCAATCAATGAAAAAGAGACAAATCCATATATAACGTTTGGATACCACCTTCCAAAATATAATTGATCGCTCGGAATAATTTCGAAAAAAGTGTTCGAAATGGTGTTAGAATACCGGTACTGTTATTCATTCGAATTTGAAAAAGTCAGTAGCTTTGTTCTTTCATTAGCACTCCTACAACACAACTGATACTAATCTGTTCGAATGATAATTTGCTTAACAAAATTGAATTGTTCACCAACTATTTTCCTTTGTTGATTCAATAAACATTCAAAATGAAATTCATTGTGTATTTGCTCTGGCAGTTGCCATCCAATCGATTCCATTCCAGATCTTACGATGTAAGTACATGAACGCTCGGTCGCATACTTGAATTTTTACTCTATTCCGAGGTCTATTTCAAAATACTGACACCAAAATAATTTTTGAAGGAAAATCTAATAAAGAACTGGTTTCATTTTCATCGTCGCTGTTTGACTGTCACTCAAACGTCGTTAACAACACACATGGACAATGACAGCCGTTTGTCAAGTCATTTTCGTCATGCGTCGATGAAACTTTCACCACTTCTCTGTGTGATGGAGTGTGCAGACGGCAAACGAGTTTCGCTATTACGTATATTTGAATTTTTTTCATAATATGATCACATATGGAAGCATATGTGTTGGATACCGTTATATTCTGTATTTGAGACATTTTTAAAATCGGAAGGAGAATTCATTACATTTTTTCCCTTGAAATTAACTTGAATTATATGGCACAAATATGAAATGCAAAAAGTAAATATACTCCACTTTTCACCACACACAAGGATGAGGTGACATATAACGAATAGTGTCGGATCACAACAAAATTGAAATAAAAACCGACAGTCTAATGCTGAATCCCGTTCTTTATACATGAGAGGAATAATTTACATTATCGATTGATGCTTCAAAATACCGCCTGTATAGTGAACGGGCCATCGTTGGAAGATTTAGATTATTCCGATCGTCAATTGTCTATTTGATGGTCTTGGGCTAATCGAACATCGAACCAATTCGATTGAACTATTCGAGCCTTAGACTGAATGGGGTTCAATTTGCAAATCAAAGTAAATATCAAAATGAAGAAGTTTCCTTCACAATATCAATTCGGTAGGCTTTGTATTGGGTAAGAATCAAGTATTGCTTGGATATTAGAGAAGAGCCTCAGATAAAGAACCGCACCAAATTAACGAGAAAAGTACTATTTCAGTTACTCTAGAGTATATTTTACATTGACATGAAGATGGATTGTGTCCAATGATAGTTTCAAATTCGAACTTTTATTCAATTTAATAATTTTTTCGCTTAGTAACAAAAAATTCAAAGATTCTATTGATTTTCAATACATTGTGTTCTGGAATTTTTCAACTTAGTTAGAATCGACTTCGAAATCAAGGTAGTCCGTTGTTTTCCAAATGAAATACTGTTGATTAGAATGATATTAGATGGCCGTGACAAATGGTGAAGTCTCCTTATTTCGCTGATAGATGACGCCTTTTCATATGGTCGTTGGCGTTGCTTTTGTGTGAAAAACACGCTCTGCACCACTTACACTGGAACGGCTTCTCCCCCGTGTGATTCACTCGCATGTGATATCGTAGATTGGTTATTTTCGACTTGAAAACATTGCAAATGTGACATTGATACTGACGACGGCCACAGATCTTCTCGTGTGCTGTTTTATCCTCTTCCATTGCGAATCCTCGGCGACACTTGATGCATCCGAATGGGAAGTGATCGCTATGGATAGCCAAATGTTGATTGAGTTGACCTTTATGGATGATTTTCATCCCACATATTTCACATTGGAATCGATATTCGCCGGTGTGTTTTGCTTGCATGTGGTCTTTCAAACAGTGTTTGGCAAAACAATTGTTGTCGCAGAGAAAACATTCGTATCGACGTCGTTTGCAGCGTTTTTCATGCGATTGATTGGCCTCACTGGTGGCAAATCGTTGCCCACATTTCAGACAAGAATGAGGAAGATCATCAGGGTGAGTTCGCAAGTGACCATTCAAATGATTCAATCGAATTGGAAGCTGTCATCTTCGTACATAGTAAGCAACACAGACTTACTCACACACAAATAGCTTTGATTTCATTCGCTTCATTCCAAATGTTCAACTGTCATTCTGACTGGAATTCCAATTTGCAATCCACATTCCGAAACGGAGTTGACATCAGAAGGATTTTTGACGATCTTAAATGGATCTCTACTAATCTGAATTATTATTTAATGAAAATCTACGATTTGGAGCGGTTTTCATTTGTTCTATCAATCTTTGCCAGTGAATGTGTCTGAATTGAATCCCACGTGAATGTTGCCAATTTCAAAAAGCGCAATGGAATTGTATTGGAATGAAATAAGCAAGAGCTTAATGTCAATCATGGGCATTGTAACACACAACGAAATATCGGGCCATACTAAGTTGACGTTCAACTCCGGTGTTGATGCGTGTGCATGAGAAACGAAAACCAATTTTGGTAGGTCATTTGCAGGAGAAATAAATAAGCAGACATTTTTATTCACATTTTGCACGAACAGTCGGACACACGATATTTGTAAGTATTTAAAAGTTGTAAACATCAATGCCATGAATTTAAAACATGAATCGGGTGCATTTGTTCATTGTTTCAATTTGTGCAACGTGATTTGTGCCATTGACACTGTTCGAACCTTTTTCGCATTGACCTGCGTTGTATCAGAGTGATTGACTTTTTCCTCTTTTGAATAAAATGAAAACCATCTCTTCCAATTACCAGTCAATGGCAGATAGCTGAGGATATATGCTGAGCATAGAAACTCAGTAAGCTGAGATTGGGACATTTTGACTTTATGACGTGTAGTCCATACAAATATATGATGGGACGCATACAATTTCGTGCATTTCGTCATGCATTTATATGGACTACACGTCATAAAGTCAAAATGTCCCAATCTCAGCTTACTGAGTTTCTATGCTCAGCATATATCCTCAGCTATCTGTCATTGACTGCCAATTACAATTTCATTTTCACTTTCTCGTATGGTCAAATAAATATAGCAAAAATGTTCTAAATTAAAAATCTTTCGAACTGTCAAATCTGACTTTCTTTGACAGGTTGGCATTAGTTATGGATATGGATCCAGGCGAAGGTACATCGGATGGCCGTGTGAAGCGTAAAGTAAACAACATCGAAGTGGAAATCAAACAAGAGCCCGGCATCAAAGAAGAACCTTTGGATGGCAGTGAACTTGGTTTGGTGACACGTTTGAATGAAAGATTTGCAGCAGATGCAGAGACTGCGACATCGAACATCGAATTGGTGGAAGAGTCTGAATGGGATTCTGATCTCGACTTTGACTTGAATGGTGTGAAAGAGGAGGTGAAGTGTGAAGAAGAAGAAGAACCAGCTAGTCATGACGATCCACATGTTGAACCAGCGGTCCAATCAAACGCCAGCCGCAAGAGAATAAATTCGGACAGTAAAGCCAAGAAACACGATAGATCAAGAAAGCAAAACAATCGAAAGATTCCAAGGAATAAGGCAGCAAGGAAACGAACGGAGCACAAATGTCGTGTTTGCGATTATGTTACACCGAAAAAAGGGAATCTCACCGTACACATTCGTACTCACACAGGTGAAAGGCCATACAAATGTAATGAATGTTCGAAAAGCTCGGCACAAGAAAACCCACAGCGGAGAAAAACGATTCGAATGCTCCGTTTGTTCCAAATCATTTGCACGGAAACACCATTTGAATGTTCACTTGCGAACTCATGTCGACGATCTTCCCCTTTCTTGTTTGAAATGTGGTCAACGATTTGCTGAAGAAGAGGTCAAACAATCGCATGAAAATCGATGCAAACATCGTCGATATGAATGTTATCTCTGCAAATTCAAATGTTTTGTCAAAGGCCACCTGAAACGCCATATGCAAGCAAAACACACCGGTGAACATCGATTCCAATGTGAAATATGTGAAAAGAAATTCATTCACAAGTGTCATCTCAATGAACATCTGGCCATCCATCGTGATCGATTCCCATTCGGATGCATCATGTGCCGTCGAGGATTCGCAAGAGAAGAGGATAAAACAGCACACGAGAAGGTTTGTCGCTGTCGTCAGTATCAATGTTACATTTGCAAAGTTTTCAAGCTACATTTAAACCATCTACGATATCACATGCGAGCAAATCACACGGGGGAGAAGCCGTTCCAGTGTAAGTGGTGCAAAGCACGTTTTTCACACAAAGGCAACGCCAAGGACCATATGAAAAGGCGTCATCTATCAGCGAAATAAGGAGACTTCACCATTTGTCACGGCCATCTAATATCATTCGAATTAACAGTATTCCACATGGAAAGCAACCTTGATTTCGGAGTTGATTCTTCAAATTTTTTGTTGTTAAGCGAAAAAATTATTAAATTGAATAAAGGTTTGAATGTGAAACTATCACTGGACATGTCAATGTAAAATTTAGTCTAGAGCAACTGAAATAGTACTTTTCTCGTTAATTTGGTGCGGTTCTTCATCTGAGGCTCTTCTCTAATATCCAAGCAATACTTGATTCCAATGTGTCCAAAACGCATGAATACGGCATCGCATAAGGCAGTTATCGCATAAATATCGCGCGGTAATTTTCTGCTTGCGTTGCCGCAGTATACGATATTTCAATGGCCGCCATCTTGCGACGCTCGCTTGCGTTCGCTTCTTTATATATGTAAAGCAATTCGAAGGTGCGTCGTAAGACGGCTATTGAAATATCGTATACTGCGGCAACGCAAGCAGAAAATTATCGCGTGATATTTATGCGATAACTGCCTTATGCGATGCCGTATCTATGCGTTTTGGACACATTGCTTGATTCTAATGGAATTCGAATTGATGGAAGAGTCTGAATCGGATTTTGTTCTCGATTTTGGATTGAATGGTGTAAAAGAGGAAGTGAAGTGTGAAGAAGAGAAGCCTCAAAAAGGAAAAAATTCTTCAGCAAATTCGGATTCGAATGGAAATAAGCCAAATGCTCGTGGCAATCAAAATGATGAGCCAATGGTGAAATCAAACACCAGTCGCAAAAGACTCAATTCAAGCGTAAAAAGAAAGAGACGCGATGGGTCGAGAAAACAAAACAAACGAAGTATTCGAAGGAATAAGGTGGCGAAGAAATGGGAGTGGTTATGTTGCATCACAAAGAAGTATTCTCACCAGTCACATTCGTATTCATATAGGCGAGAGGCCATACAAATACGTTGAATGTACGAAAGCTTTTACACAAAAATGCGACTTGATTCGGC